CCTCCCTCCCTTCCTCCCTTCCTCCCTTCCTCCCTTCCTCCCTTCCTCCCTTCCTCCCTTCCTCCCTTCCTCCCTTCCTCCCTTCCTCCCTTCCTTCCTTCCTTCCTTGCTTCCTTGCTTCCTTGCTTCCTTGCTTCCTTGCTTCCTTGCTTCCTTGCTTCCTTGCTTCCTTCCTTCCTTCCTTCCTTCCTTCCATCCTTCCAACACATCTCCGTCGACCACTCAGTCTCGCTCCCCCGCGGCGAGTGCAACTAATCGAGAACCCAAGCATCGGAGATGCTTTTGGGAATAATTAGTTGGTTTGTGGGCAAGCAGAAAAGCAGACCATCCTGTTGGTGGGTATACCAATTGAAAATCCTAGAAATAGCAGAATAGCACAAAAAATACTACAAATAGCAGAAGTCGGATGATGTTTTTCTAAAACGACACCCAGGAGCTTCCAAACGGTTGTCCGCCAGCTGCAAGCTTCTCAGCGATGGCAACTGAGCCAGGCAACTGGGAGCGATGGCCTTGGAGGTCGTTCGACAATTAACGTAGCTATGGTAAAATCCCATTTAGAGTTGATTTACTTATTAAACACAGTGATTTTCCAGGTCGCAAACTGTTAGTTTACTGGGCAATAATTTTTCATAGGAACTCTTGGAAAAACATGGAAAAAGGGTCTAAATGAGGCTTAAATGTTCTAACAATGGTGGTTTTTCCACACCCAGACCCCGACCCGATCGCCCGCACAGCCTTTAGCTGGTTTCCAGTGAGGTCCAATTCCTGGGGAAGTCCCAACGTCAGGCGTGGGATTAACTTGTGTGTACATTGCGTGTGCATGCGTATATATATATATATATTCTTGTATATATAGAAATAAGTATATATACTATATACTTATTGTTCTTATATATGCCTACATGCATGTATGTTATGTAAGTGTTTAATTTTGTGAGATACTCATCAACAGCTGGGACAGGTGCTTAGCCCTCAAAGATTCACTGGTTTCGTGCGTGTGACGCAGCAAGCACACCTCCAGTGCCAATCACGCCTCTTTACCAAGTACCCTCTGGTAAACAAACAAAGCTATTGAAAATTGCCATTTATAGTGGATTTACCCATTAAAAATGATGATTTTCCAGTTCGTTATGAGACAGTTTACCAAGTAGCCTTTGACAATTGCTATTGGAAATGGCTCATGAAAAGAGTTGATTTACCTATTCCAAATGGTGATTTTCCAGTTCGCAAACTGTTAGTTTACCAGATGGTAATAATAAAAGATGCAAATGAATACTCATACAATATACGTACAGTACGTAAGTATGTATATTACCAGTACGTCCACACCCAAACAGTCAAACGTAGCCATACGGCAACTTGGCTACTCAAACTGCCGGTGAATTCTCCAGCCATGTCTGATCAATCCATCGGACGGTAATCAAACCCTTACCCGCTATGGGAATAGCTAACAGTTTGCCATGGTATAGATGGCCCACCAGAATCCATAGAAGTAGTTGATGAATCCCCATGAAACATGGTGGATTTTCCACTTCGCAACCTGTAAACGTTTACAAGCGGGTCACCAGCACCACATGATCTTCGGATTCCCATGGTGACATGGTGGGATGACCTTTCAATAGAAATCCCAAGTGGCGCTGCTGTTTTACCATTCAGTCATTCAGTACCACATATTCAGAGCTTTCCAAAGTCATGGTCCCCAAATGTCCCCAATCATCCATGTTCAACGTGTTATTTTCGGATGAACATCATCCAGCACCAGCCACTGGGGGTACCCGGGGTACCCCCGGCGCCTCCAAGCGCGGCAAGGTGAGCGTCTTGGCGTTGATCAGTTGCAAGGAGCAGTTCGCCAAGCGCACGCTGCGGAGGTGACTGATGCCCTGCGTGAGGGGTTTTTTTCCTGTTGTGGGCTTGAAAAAATGATCAGCATGACCTAAAATCATCTAAAATCCATATAATATAATGACATCATAAACCACCATTAGTAACTTGATGGTAGCTTTTTTGGGCTTTTGAATGGTTAAAATATGGTGGGTCAGATGGATGTCCACCATCATTTCTCAGTCAGATGGCCGTCCCATCATTTTAAGTGAATATTGGCCTTGAAAGTTCACATCAGCATCACATTATCATTGCTCCAAACGAAGGAAAAAAACATAAAAAGACAAGTCCCAATCTATGTTGATATAAAGTTGTTATAATTTCATCAAATTGTCATGCGCCTAAACTAAGATAACTGTGGCGATTGTAGTTTATCATTGGATTGCCACATGCCATCATACCCCACCCATCCCCCGGTCCCTTCCAGCGGATGGAAAAGTTGGATAAAGTTGGCCCAAGATGGCCCAAAAGAATCATTGTCCACGCCTGGAAAATGCCTTGTGGGAGGTAGAGTAGGCGATTTTGGGACACATCCAGAGCCCGCAGCCGCGGCATCCGCTGGAAAGTCCATGCGGTCAAAGCTGAGAGGCTCACGTTTCCTCGAGGACAGAGCCAGGTGCAGATCAAGGGGAATCAACACAATTGCAAGTTTTATTATAAAATAGGTGAAACTACCATCAAAATTGGGAACTCCACCAACAAAAAATGACATGAATGGATTGGTTCAACCAAAAAACGATCCGGAAAGGCTGTTGCTCATGTCTAGAAACCCCAAACATGAGGCTTTCCAGCGAAGATTTTCCCAAACTGGAAGCAATGGGGGCCATCCTTGGGATGGTCCACGTGCTGTTACTATATGGTTTCGCCTGATGGGATACAGTATGCCCCAAAGTTGCCATTTGATGGTGAATATATGTGAAGATGAGGTTTTAGCTTTTAACATGTTTGAAAACCAAGGGATTTGGGTATACCCAGTGCAAAGGGGACAAGCCATGGAGGGCTGTGATCCACATACCACCGTTATCGTTGATGATTTGTTTCAAGCACTCCCTGCTATGCCAAGCTGCTCAGGCGCAAGTTCAGCAAGGATGGCAAGGGCGGGAGGTGGTGTGGATGATCCCTGCTGGGCCTTCGCAAAGGATTGTCACCTCGACATCCAGCTGTCTGCTGGCCCCTTCCTGTACCATCTGGTTATGACCAACATAGCCATGGAAAATCCCTTATAAATGGAGGTTTATAGCTGGGAAAATAATCTATAAATGAGCCATCTATACCATGGCTATGTTAAATAACCAGAGGGTAGCTTCAGCCGAACGGAACATCTGCAGGGAACCCTGCGAACATGTCTTAGAAATTCCTGGCTCTTGGGAACCACTGGAACCACTGGAAATATCTAAGCACAAAAAGGAGGGGTTCGTGGTGCCCGGGTCGCCGTTTGTATGGTTGGACTGTCTGACCCTCCACATGGGGATCGTTCAAATCCTACCCACGTCTTGTGGTTTACCATTGGTTTTGCCACATGAAAATCGAAAGAAATTACAGACTGGCATCGAAAACTAAAAAAAGATGTTTCACCTAGATATTCGATGGCTTAAGTATATGTCTACCACCAGGTTTCCCATGGTTTCCCACTCAAGTTCCATAATAGTAGTTCCATAGCATTTCCATACATCTACCTGACATTTCCATGGCCTACCTCCCAGCAGTTAACTCCTCCCGGTCTCCAAGCGACTCAAATCCAAGAGCTGCAGACTGCTGGGCAGCTTCTGTGGGAGCCAAGGCAGTTGATTCATGGCCAGGTGTAAGGCCAAGAGCCGCGAGAGCGGCGCCAAACTGCGCCAGATGGATGGCAGGACGTGGGAATATCATTGGGGAGAAATGGGGTGATTTGCCCTAATTCTGCACAGAATTGTTCTGAGTCTTCACTCACTCTCTCACTTACTCACTCCCTCACTCTCTCTCCCCCTCTCCATCGCTAGCTGCTCGAGCTCAGCTAGACAAAAGTATGTGTATGTGTCCATGGTTTCTCTTATTTAAAACTGTATAACTTCACCAATTTTTTGGGGAGTATAAAATGTATACATCGATCCAAACTCAGCATTTGTGATGGAAATATACTGGATCTGAATCTAATGGGGATGGGGATTGGGATGGATGGTGCCTGGATTTTTCTGTGGCCCAACATGGATGGGAAAGCTGCAAATCATGGTTTGCTTTCCTTAGGGAACAAGCTGAAGTTGGCAAATTCTTGATTCTTGGGTTTCTTCCCTGCCTTACATCATCCTTTTGGTTGCTAACCAAGTGCTGACTTGCATAGCTGCACATAGACAGGTCAAAATGTTGCCAAATCATGTCAATGCAGATGTTTGATGTACCCTCGGGTAATCAAACATGACCATCGAACGTCATAGATTCTTTTCCCAGCTATGTTTCCCTCATAGCAAATCCTCCAGCCATGTAGAGAATTCTCCAGCCATGTTTCCCAGTTGATACACTGTCCGAGGAGAAAGTCCGGCCTGACGCTACTGAGTTGGTTGTAGGACAGGTCCAGCTTGCGGGTCTTGGACAGGCACGGCAGCGCCTTTCCAAGCTGGTTGAGATGTCGAGGGCGCAGAGAGGCCCCAAAAAAAACTCCAGGAATCTATATCCCCGGAAGCACGAGATAGAAAACAATGCAAAGTTCGCTGGATTTGGAAATATCATGAAATATCATAAAATATCATGAAATATGATGAAATATGATGAAATATCTACATCTGGCTAAATCAAAAATCATTCACTAACCTGAAAAGTTGTGTCATTTAGGGGATTCCCGGCGACCCGTAGCACCTCACTCACATCCTTCAGCCGATTCCACTTGGCGTCCAGCACCTGTGGCGCCGAGTAAGGAAGCGATGGATGGCCTGTGAATGAGTTCGATGATTTACCCTTTTTCCTGGTGATTATGTATAGTGATAGCTATAGTCATAGACATAGTCATAGTAGTTGTGGCTATAGTAGTTTTAGTTATATTTGGTGAGTGTAGTTAATATATTTGGTGATTATAGTTATAGTCACAGTTATAGTCATAGTCATAGAGTCATAGTCATACGTAGTTGCAGTTATATGCAGTTACGTATAGTAATTAAAACTAAATGATCAGAGGGGTGCAGGGCATCATCCATGAGGATGTCCAGCTTTGCGAAAGTGGAGCCATCGTTCCCACGCATCTGACTGGCTCTGAACGACTTGGTGCTGAACAATACTTACTGCATTATAGAATCACGCATCTTTCCCTCACCAAGGCCAACTCACCAAGGCTAGCTCACTAAGGTTTTCCAACACCAATCTCAGCCATAGCTAACCTAACATACTAAAGGCCTAAAGGCATTCTTAGTTGCAAGATTCCCAAAGCTACCCTCTGGTAATTTAACATAGCTATTGAAAATGGCCATTTATAGTGGATTTTCCCATTAAAAATTGTGATTTTCCATAGTTATGTTAAATTACCAGAGGCTAACTCACCCCAGATCCCAATCTCCCAATCTGCCTGCGGGCTTCCTGCCCCACAGGGCAGCCGTTCCAGGCGATTCCCAACCACTTCCAATATCTGCCTGGGCGACGTCGTGACGTCGAAGGTCCAACGACCATCAAAAATGAGGAGGTTCACCATGATTCACCAAAAATATCCAAAAATGATCAACCAGAGTGAACGGATTGGCAAAATGTTAAGGATGTTTTTTTCAAAACACAAATGGAACCGACAAAATGACAAGAAATTTTGCACAAACATAAGTCAAGGCACAACTGGTGCAATGACCAATCAAAATGATCAAATCATCCACAAAAGCTGGCGCGGTTACCAACCATAACAAACTTGTAGATTCTAGATGCACGACCCCACGACCCGGTTCCACACCTGAAATCGAACCCATCAAGCACTGCTTGCGTCAAAGATTGCGACGTCAGTGAGGGTCATCATCCCAAATATGGATGAAAATATGTGATCAAAAAATGCCTTAAAGCCACTAACCCAGTTGAACAGTTGAAAATAGAATGCATATATATATACTTACTGTATATTTATTTATATATATATATATACATACACACATATATATATACATATATAAATACATGTTCCTATATATATATATAGATATTGAGATATAGTGAGATTATATTCATATTTCCGAAGGAAACATCATGGCTTCCAGCTGGATTTCAGATTGCCAAGGGACAACTCTGGCAGGGACCCTGGGGGGAAGCTCAATCTCTGCAGCCTGCGTAGCTTGAAGGTGTAGTGAACATTGGGTCACTATTATACTATATATTATATATTATATTAAATATAAATCATATATCATATATCATATATTATATATTATATATTATATTATAAAAAATACTATATATGTATACTATGTATATACACAGTATATACACCATCAAACATGGAAATACTATGAAATACGATGATATACGCGCATCTGTGGCTGCGTGCGTGAGTGCCTGGATGGGTGGGTGGCAAGGCATGTTGGCGCATGTAAATCTTGGAGTCAAGAGAAAATCGTGCAGATGTGGAAACAATCAGAACCAACCAACATGCAACATGTATGATTATACAATCAACAAAAATCACAAATAAGGCAAATATAGGCATTCGTGGGCATGTGCAGTAAATTGCAGGAGAACGGGTTGGAGACGTTCATCAAAAACTCGGGGAGACCTCGGTGGATCACCGAAATCCCGCCAGAAAGGGGATAAAGGGCTGAGGTCGCCATGGTATCCGGCCCCCTGGCAGGACGCGCCCAATAAACCAGTGTCCGCCAAGCAGCTTGTTCTGCGAGAGGTTCAACACTTTCAGGTGTCCAAAAGAACTGAAGAAGGCATCCTGCCGAATGTAGACACAACGAGCCCGGAGTTGTTTGAAGGTTTTGTTAGTTTTTCTGGCCATGTGGCCATGTGTGCCTTCCACTTGATCAGGCGGAATGATCTTGCTTGTCTGACTGCGTGCATCCCCCTGTCACCAGTCTGATTGGTGGCTGCACATACTGGAAACTGGCCGACTGCATCCCAAATCATCAGATATCCCTATAGTTGCCGCTTCCTGTTCGTAAACCCAAACCTCCTCGGCCTCCCATTCTCCCACACCCCAGGACCCAGCTTGCATTTTGGTTTATCGTGGCTCGGCTCATCTAGGTTCCGAGGAAAAAACCATGCGGGAAATCTATGCGAAAATTGCATAGGAATCACAATTTGACCAAGGATTTCCTTTCAAGAATCTTCACATTTGCCACTGCCACAATTTGCCACGTCGCCACGTTTGACCCATTTATCTGGTTGGTGGTTTCTCAACCCCTCTGAAAAATATGAGTTCGTCAATGGGAAGGATGACATCCCATATATGAAATGGAAAATTTCAGCCATGTTCCAAAGCACCAACCAGTTATTGAATGGAAGCAGCTCCTCCAGTTCCACCAAGTCATTCTCCGAGAGGTCCAGCACTTCCAGGTTGCTCTCAGATGCTGCAGAGCTCCGGGACAAGGACTGGAGCCGATTGCGGGCCTCGCAATACCACGATGGGCAGAAATGGTGCCGTGTTTGGTAACTCAAAGTACCCGGCCTGGTAAACTGTCCCATAACTATGGAACATCACCATTTGTTTATGGGAAAATTCAACTATAAATGATGATCTTCCATAAGTATGTTAAATTACCAGAGGGTAATTCTTTCTGATTCTTTGGGAACCCACGTTCCTACTGTTTTTGCCATTGCTTCATGGGGGATGTTGCCTCTTCTAATTCACAGAACTTTATCAACCAACCGCTGGATCGAGGACATCTACCAATGCCTCATCGAGCATCGCCCAATTCGTCTAGCAGCCTAGTCATCCTTGTTTTGGTGGGTGGAACATGGTGGAACTCGACTTTTTCCACCAAACTGAAAACCATCCCAGGATGCCTGGAATAACAGCAGAGCTCAGTCCATTAGTCCATTTCATTGCTATCACCACCTCCATGGCGGGTCCCCATGGCTGCTTGCCGAGCCGCCAGATTCACAGCCCGGAGGAAGGAGCCAAAAATCAACTTCTCCACGTCGCCGGTGAGCTGGTTGTCCTATTGGAACACCCGACCCGTGGAACCGGTTTGGCCAATCATTTTTTGTGGAAACTATCTGGGTAAAACCATGGTTATAAACCCCCATAAGTTGGGATATAACCCTTGTAATTGATATAACTATGGTATACTATCTGGGTAGATTATTGTAATTCACAAGCCTGAAATAAAACCTTTGGGTGATAGCTACCCCTGCGTCGCAGGATGAGGTTGTTATTATTTTGATCCAGAACTATCCCATGGCCGGGCATGGGGTGAACGGGTCGTACACAACACTACAAAAATATCTAGTTTATGGGGACATGATGCATGAGAATGGGATATCATGGGATATGCAATCAATACACCAATAATCAGCCAAACGCGGGATATGTTCCAACCATCTGAAATTGGATGTTCGCCAATGGCTTTGCCGCATAAATTCCCACATCGGAAATATAGGTTCCGCCCATTTGAGGTTTCCCTTACCATAAGTTGCGGTGAGGTCGTTGTGAGGTCGTTTTAAAAAATTTCATCCAAATCGGCTGCTGAAGGTGTTGAAATCGCCAAGGTTTACCATCTGGTTATCTGATACATCGCCATGGAAAGATCCACCATTTGTAATAGGTAAACCATCTATTTCGATTAGGGCCATCTATACCATGGCTATGTTAAATAACCAGAGGTCAGTCGCCATCCAACAATCCATGACTGCTTAGGATCTGGCATTTTCCATGGCATTTTCCTGTCTGCAAGAATTCAAAAGTATGACAATAATTGTATTATAAACAATAAACAATGGTATATATAATGGTATTTACTATATTACTAATATCCATATTTATAGCATTCGTAGTAGTACTAATAATGTATTATACTAACAATAAATAATGGTATATATCAATATTAAATGGGATATTTGTATATTTATAATGGTATTCCACATGGTATATATAATGGTATATATTATCATAGTGGGATATTATACTAACAATAAATAATGATATTATACCATAATAATCTGGTTGGTGGTTGACCTATCCCTCTTAAAAATATGAGTTCGTCAGTTGGGATGATTATCCCATATATCGTGGAAAATAAAAAAATGTTTAAAACCACCAACCAGAGTTCATCTTCGGAGTTGCAGGGATGGAAAAACCACAGGTATTCCGCTGCGCTACCCCAGTTTCAATGCTTTGTTCTCAGGGAAATTGAACTATGGTTTGCAATGGCTTGCACCTCCAAAATGCAACGGTTTCTCGTAGTTGTTCCTTCCACACAATTCTGGGATAGTTGGAGATTTTGGGCCTACTTCTCTCCCTCAACGCGGTTCCACTGGTTTTGTCTTCCTTGGAACGTGCGGATTGACCGGCGCCTTCGGCCACCTTGCTGGCATGTTTTCACACTGAAGTTATGTTTTGGTGTGATGTCTAGACCTGCCTGAGCATCATTTCTCCCAGAAAGAAGACTAGTCATCTCTTCTTTGTTGCTTTTGTCTCAAGTTTTTCTTCCTTGGCACTTGGCACATGTGGATTGACTTGCGATATCTTGACTTGAGCTTTCTATCACCCTGGTTGCATGGTCTCCATCCTTTGGACCATTTGCAGACGCTAATATATATATATATATATCATATGGTTGATTCACAATTTCCCATCAATGCCCAGTTACAAGTCCACATTTCTTCAGTGGAAACAAGCTGAGCTCATCTTCACCAAGTCCAATCATCTAAATCTCCAGATGTGGAGCTCGTGTATACGATTGGTGCCAGCACAAGTCGCCCCCAACATTAAATCAACTTGAGCCGGAGCCATGAGGTCTTTCCTTCCCGCAGTATCTCATGTGATCCTGTGCTTAATAATATATACTTGATCTGTATATGTGTATGTATTGCACTATCCAGTTAGACCTCTCAATACCATTATATACAACCCCAAGTCACAAATAGAAAAGTTGGACCTGAAAATATTGAAGTATATATAATTATATAAATATCATCTCATCTATGAGACCCTGGAACGTACGTTTCGATCTTTTTGGCTGTCCATGGCTGTCCTGCAGCAGCAACTCTTGGATCTCAGCCCCCTCCAAGCCGCTGACGTTGCGCAGGCCGTTCTGTTGCAGCTCCAAGCGCTCCAAAGGCAGCCCTTCCAAGTTGGGTGCCTCCTGGTCGAATACTGAGGGGTCTGGCCATGGGCCATGGGCCAATGGGGGATCTCACCTCATATCACCTTTTTTTTAAAGGGATCTTCCGGCAATGTTGCAGTGTAGTCTGTGCCAACCATCCTTCCCGCAACGCCTTGAAGTAGTTTCCGGCCAAAGACAAGAATCTCAAGTTCCCGCACTCCTGTGACGCTTGAAGAGACTGGCAGGCTCTCAGAAGATTCCGGTTTCGGGTATACCGAAACTAGAAGTTCTCAATACAGATCTGCCACCGTCCCTGGGGTAGGTATACCACCACCAACCACCAACCTGTTTGGGTACGCTTCTGTTGGCTACATCACTCCAGCACCGCACAGCCTTCAGTGGCTCAACTATGGATCCGTTCCCCAAGGCGTTGTGCGAGAGGTCCTGATGGCGGCGGTTCATGGCCAAAGCTAAGGGTCCCAAATCTGAAGGCCTTTTTGAGTGGGGAATTGACGTTGTCCACAAGGTATCTCCAAGTCGTGTTCTAGCCATCCTCTAAAGGGAGTTTCAGTTTGAACAATGGCGGTGGTTTGCAAGCCTCAAGTTGGTAACAAATTCCATGCAAAGAAATTAAGAATGTAAGTAATGTAAGCATGTGCAAGCATTAAACATCTCCCGACAAAGACACCAGAAAATGTCCAAGTCATACTCCCTTGTATAAGTCAAGTCGTTATGAGGCCCTCAAATCGTGTCGGCTGGGCCGTAGGAAATGGGACAAGGGGAGATTCCACAGAAATTCCAAACGGTTTAGCGATAAGAATCCATGGGTGGCCAAACAAATTCTCAAGGAGCTCCTGGATGGTGAAAACACTATATGTACTATATCTGGATTTGTTTGGATAGCTTTGGTTGATTAAACCCCTCACTTTTCAAACGGTTACACCGTGACACCCCCGACTTTGGTTGAACCGATGTCCCCCACTTCGCTGAGCACCGCACCAGTATCTCCAACGATGACAGGCCATGGAAATCCATTGGCTGCAACTGTTCCAAACCATTGCCCGACCTCAGCTAGTCAACTTAGTTGGGTAGGTTGATAGGATTGATAGGATTGATAGGTGTCAAGGCACAAAAAAGGGGAGTTCACTGAGTTACTGGGCCTCTATGTGTCCATCTATCGACGTCTATATCACTCGATCTATGTCTGTCTGTCTATCTATCTATCCAATCTAATCTAATCTAATCTAATCTAGTCTAATCTAATCTTATCTAATCTTATCTAATCTTATCTAATCTAATCTAATCTAATCTTATCTATCTATCTATCTATCTATCTATCTCTCTATCTCTCTCTCTCTCTATCTCTCTCTCTCTCTCTCTCTGTCAGTATTTCATGCTATTTCCATGGTCTTTCATGCCTTTTCCGACCCCTTTCCAGCATTCCCTTTTGGGCTTCGCCGCTCGCCGCGTCACAAATTCAGCAGGATCAAGGCGGGAAGCTCCGGCGTCGTGTGCCGCGTGAGCTTCGTATGGCTCAGGTCCAACGTCTGCAGGGACGACTCGAGGCCCTGAAACCTGCTGAGTGAAAAACACCGCGACTTGGCATAGCACCGCACGACTTGGGGTGAAAAGAAATGGCTGTGAAACAACCAGCAAAATGATGGTTGATGAATGTTGATGAATGTTAAAGTTCATATGAATCACCCCCCCAATTCATCAACACCCACAGTCCAAAAATTTGTTGGTAATACTACTTGGGGGTGGTCCCTCCCTGTTAATCAACATGGGTGGTCACCCCCTATTATAAAACCCCTTCCGGAAAATCCCTTTTTGGATTCAAAAACCAATGGGTTGAAAGCATTTCTCATACTAAATCACATGAATCGTTTGTTGCTGCTCAAATCCATGTAGATCAAAATGTTGACCATATTTCTATATTTTTTTTTCTCCCCAGTTAATTGGTTCGACAGTTTTCTTTCCCCACCCTTTCGCTCAAAAAGCAAACCTCCAAATGGATCAAATGGATGATTCCAATTGACGAAACTTTGGCCATGGGTTGCTTTAGCATCAATCATCAACAGATGCTGCTAGCCCAGTACCCTTTGGTTGAACCCCCCAAGTAATGCCAAGTTCGTATGAATAACATTTAATAACTCCCCCAGAAGGTCGAGATCCATGAGAAGGTATTCACCCCCAAATAATCAATCGGCAGCAAAACCAAAAAAATCAAAACATCACCATCCCAGGTGGATATCAAAAACAAAAAATTTTATGTTGACACGGACAACCAGGTAACCAGCTAATAGGTGTAAATTAGATGTACTAAATATGATCAAACTGTGTGCATGCATATATATATATATTTGGAATTATTTGGATATATTTGGATGAAACATCCCATTCACATCTGCCGAGGCTTGTTAGGGGCTTGGTCGCTTGGTTTTTGGAATTCTCGCCGTAGAGCATCCCAGTTCGCGATAACGCATGAGTTGGTTGAGGCAACTGTCAATTCGAAAATGTGTGCCATGGCTTCCAGTTCCCACACTGTGCGTAGCCCCACGGCCACGGCCAAGGCACACGCCAGCTGGGAGCAATCCCAAAGGGTTGAAGGACAAGTCCAGATTCAGCAAGTGGCTGGCATTCCTCGGCGCTGGCCAGTTGTGCCAACAACTCCCCAAACGTGGCCTCACGACAAGCCACACAAGCCACACAAACCACACAAGCCAACACTCAAGATTCAGAAATTCAGGTGCTTCTTAAACCATAGATCTTACCCAAGCCTATCCACTTCCCAAGTCAACTACTAACCCCCTCAAAATCCGAGAGTCTGAAAGGTTCCAGGCCACAACTCCCCCAATTGGTTGGAAGACAAATTGAGCACCTCCAGCTGCGCACCAAAACTGAAGCCACCTGTCATCCCCTCCAAGCGGTTCTGGGCCAGGTCCAGCCACCTCAGTAGCTCACCCAATTCGCAAAACCACCCGATCTTAGCTTGGATATGCTTGGATAATGAAGGTTTATAGCTGGGAAAATCATCCGAAATAGAGGATTGTCCAGCCTGCACTCCTGATTTTCCACCGGAGGGTATCAGTTTCTTGTGGCACAATGGCACAAGCTTCAGCATCTGCCGCGCCAAGAAACTCCAATGCTTCCATTCCAATAAAGGTCTCGGTCCGCAACTGCTTCAGCAGGTTCTGCGACAAATCCTACGGCTCGGGCCGGTTTTGGACAGCCATCACCAAGAGTATTTTTGTTGACCCAAGAGTGAACCAAAAAATCTACAACCAAAACAGGGAAAACATCGTGTTCTACAGTGATCTCCAACTTTGGACCCCTTTTTTGATCCATATCCCCATCCGTTCATCAATATTTTCCCAACAAAAATTGCCAACAATGAGGTAAACCCAACAATAAACCATCCCCAATCGGGGTTTGTTTCCCCTATGACTGGGGTGATTCAAAAAAACGAATGGTGGCTTACTGGATGTTTTTTTGGGCTGGTTTATGGGATTGGGTACATCATTCCAATGGAATCCATGCTTCAACCATAGATGCCCCGATGAAATCCAATTCTTTTAGCAGTAACTTCCACAATAAACCAGGAAATCATCAACATCTCCCCATCGCAAATCAGTATGTTTGGATAAAGAAGTTATGCATATATATATATAATCCATATCCATATAATATATGTATAATTATCCATATAATCTATGTATATAATGCAGTTAATTAATATAATATATATATATCATATATTCCATTCTGCCGTTGTAACCGTTCATTGCCGTTGTCCAAGACACCAGGAACCGCAACTGCTCCAGGTCTTCGAAGCTCGCGTCGTCGTCGAGCGCATTCGAGGCCAGGTCGAGGCCCTGGCGACGCGAAGGTCTTCGAAGGTGTGGCGAAGCCATGGGAGCCATGGGAGCCATGGAGAGCCATGGGGGATTCGAATGGGAAAATCATGGGAAAAACAAGGAAAAACAAGGGTAAACAATGGGAATATCATGGGAAAACCATGGGAATATCATGGATAGTGGTGATTTAACGCCTAGGAATGGGAATATAAAGTGGGAATATAAGAATTAGAATGGCTAGCAATGCTGGTACTGGGATTATAATGGGAATATCATGGATAGTAATGGGATTATAAGATATTATAAGCATGAGCAACCCCCAAAGGAAAGATTGGATTGGAGGAACATCTATCTATTTGAGAATTGATTACAAAGAGGAAGACATCCAGTCATTCTTGTAAGATACAAAAATGAGGGTGGAATGTTGAACCGATCTTTTCACAGAAATTGTGACGTGAATCTAACCCAAAGTTCCAAAGTTCCTTACTGCTTAATGCTGAAGGTATGGCCCATGCTCAACCCCGACTCTGGGTTTCAGTGGGGCATGATGTTCTCAGATCACCCCGGTCCAAAGAAAATCCCCCAATATTACCCCTGGCCCCTGGTTGAGTGGATGTATTCATTTGGCCCAAGCTTTACTGTATATCAGGGCTACGAGATTCTAAGGCCTATTTCCGGATACTCTTATCCCCTGGACTGCAACCTTGACCTTCACGCTGTTTCTTGGTGTCCAACACATCGCAAAAAACATCTTTCGTAGATTTCCATGTTGGATCCACCAAAGCTCCCCATTTGGCCCACATGGAATCAGTAAAAAAAAAACGATCCAAAGCCAGCCGATCTCCCAGGAGGACCTGCAAGGCGGTCAAGTTCAGGAAGCAATCCTGCTGCAACTTCTGGAGCCCAGCCGAGCGCCTGGTGATGGTGGTCACTTGGTGACGGGGCGCTTTTTTCGGAGATCTGGAAATGTGGTTTGACAAAACAAAAGTCTCGGTAATCATGACATATGTATAGAGATGTATGTAGATATATATATATAGAATAAATATATATATGTATGTATACTGTATATATGTGTGTGTGTACGTATACATGTCTATACTGTATATAGTATGTTTGTTTGATGTTGTCATCAAACTACCATTTTCAAAAACAAAAAAAAAAATATGTCGACCTCTGGCCATTTGCCAAGCAACAAGTGCAACCATCGCAGCCGCAGGTTGGCTGCAAAGGCCAAGGGTGGCAGATACCCCAGGACGTTGAAGGAGAGATTCAGCAGCTTCACTGAAGGTGGGAACCTTGGATCTCTTTCAGGCCATTTTTTTGGGTCAAAAAACCTATCACTTTTTGGTTTATAGATCTGAATATTTATGGATATTTAAGTCTAAAAAACTCGAAAAGTTCATGAGTTGGACATTAGCATCTCATATGTATATGTGGGTATGGATCAATACCTATTAATACCATTTTTAGTGGGATGAACATCCATTTACCAGCTATTTTGATGTTCACCAGGGGTACAAGGTTTTGACACACTGCCATATGTATATATACATATATATATATAATCCCCCTTACAATATTAAGCTGAACCCGGGGGGCGCCATTTTATAAGAAATTCCTTATGAAATGGGAGTTCCACGGGGATAATTCTTTATAGAATGCAGATACTCAACGCTACAGCAATATAGGGAACTCCAATTAGCATTTTATAAGAAAAAACGCATTCTTATAATATGACAGACCAGAGTCAAAAAAAACGGCTTATAGATCGTGGCCCAGACAATTTACTTTTTTGGTGATTACCCGATATACATTTTATAAGGTGGGAGTGGAAATTTCACAAATTATCAGAGATTTATACTGAAAGTGACAAACTGTCATTCTATAAGGCACCTCCAGGGCATCTTATAAGAACAAAAACTGTGCAAACCTGATTTCTCCGGGATTCTCCGGGTATGTTTTTCTCAGTTTGTGCTGGTAAAACCTGTAATTATCAAAAGAAATTGTTTATATTGCAAAGATTTGCAAAGTAAGTGTACCTTATATAATGGATATTCAATAAAAACAAACATGAATCTTGCACGCATGCAATAAGCTTTTGAAACATTATAAAATGGCAAATAGTGATTCAGGTCACTGCTACAACAATAGGCATAATATAAGAAACCAAAACAACTTACTACCTGCAGGCGGCCTGCCTGTTATAAAATGATAATCGTACTTTGTGGTAAGGAAGATATGACATTATTGTCATTTTATAGTTGCATAATACTACATATAACTACTATATACATCTATATGCATCGTTGTGCATCTAGATACATGTATATTATACATGTTTAACACCTTTATACATCTAATAGACATCTAATATATATAAAAGAAAGTACGAGAACATAGAATACAGAATTTTGAAAAACAGGTTTTGGGGCATCTTCCAGAATTGGAAAAAAAAACGGTGTACATAGAATATCCCAGGAGTGTACATAGAATAATTTTAATTCTGGAAGATGTTTTTTTGTTTTTTTTTAATTATCAAATTTTCACCCGTACTGTAGCATAAATGGACATAAGTGGACATTGTTCAAATTGTCATCTCACTAAAATCCTTTGGATTATCAAAATATCACTCATACTGCAGCATAAATGGACATAAATGAACAGTTTTCAAATTTTCACCACGCCAAAATCCTTTGAATTATCAAAATATCATCCGTGCTGCGGCCTAAATGGACATAAATGATCATTTTTAACTTTCACCCCACTAAAATTGTTTGAATTATCAACATATAACCCGTGCTGCAGCATAAATGGTCATAAATGGATATTTTTCAAATTTTTCACCCCACTAAAATCCACCAGAACACAATAGAATCCCTCACAAAATTGTTCAAGCTCACCGAAGGGTGCCCCCCACGACCGGTGTCGAAGGACTATTTAAAAAAAAAACTATTTTGCAATGGAAAATAATGAAAACCAATGGAATTAGGCGGTGTTCCTGAAAAAATGGATGAATATTTTCACTGGGGACCTATATTCTATGATATTCTATGTATGTAGTGGCTGCATTTGGCTACGTCATTGGCGCTGAGTGCCTTCCCAAACTTTGAGGAGGCCCAGCAAGGCTACCTCCATAGCTATACATCTAAATTGGGCAGTTGAAAATAATCATCTTTTGTGTATAAAAACATTTTTTTCCGTGAAAAAAAAACAATTTGCTGTGAACACATTCTGATTTTCAGTGATGTTTAAGGACATGAGGTGTAAGTTTTTATCAAACTTACAGTTTTGAGGTATGACTTTACATCAAACCTACACTAAATTTACATATCAGGAGTGTAACTTTGATGTAAACTTACATGCACAAGTGTAAATTTGATGAACACTTACATGTTTGAGGTGTCAGCTTACACCAAACTTACATTTACAAGTATAAGTTTACACTTTTGCGTGTAAGTTTGATATAAATTTACAGTGTTGACATGTAAGTTTGATGTAAATTTATACTTATACTTATGATTTATGATGTGTAAGTTTAGTGTTATAGTGTAAATTTGATGTAAACTTACACATCAAAAAGTGCAACTTTGATGCAAATTTACATCAAAATTACACCTCATGTCCTTAAGGGTTCCCGTCCCTGCCGCCAACCCCAGAACAAAAAAAAACACAAACATTGAATCATTGATGTATCGTATTTGCTGACCCAGCCAACTTTCATGGGAACACTCCTAACAGTTTTTTATACCATTTTTTTTGCGAACACTCCCAATATTTCTGTATAGAATTTTGCTTTTATGCATCCCCCTTACATGTATAAGGGTATATATTACATACATCATTCCCTTTGGAGGGAGGCAACCCTGGATGTCTGAAGCTCCTGAACTGGAAAATAAAGAAAAAAAACGGGTCCCCCGAAATGATCAATTTATTTTGATTTTGTATTGAAAAAAATAGTTTTTCAAACTCACCTAAGGGTACGTACCCCCATGACTGATCCCGTAGAAAAATGATAAATTCTATTTGGCAATGAAAACCAATGCAATTAGGTGGTGTTCCTCGGATGAATCTTCCCTTGGGACTTCTATTCTATGTATGAAGTTCTGCAAAGAAGTGAGTGTCTTAGAGACTCAATTCCTTGCAGAACTACATACATAGAATTTAAGGGGCGATGATTTTTTTATTTTGCTTTCAGTCTGGGGCAGTTTTCCTTGCTATTTGCTACATTTTGGGGCTAAAATCTCTGATTTGCGTGCTATTTGCTGCATTTTGGAACCAAAATCTCTCTGATTTGCGTGCTATTTGCTGCGTTTTTGAACTAACATCTCTCATCCTGCATGCTATTTGCAGCATTTCGGAACTGAAGTCGCAAACTTGGGTAAATAAATCGTAAATTTGCCCGATAATTGCAACATTTTAGTTTCGCCCATTTTCCCATGGGTTTTCAACGATGTCTGGATGGTTTTCATCGTTTTTTTGATCGTCTTCAATGGTCTTTCCGTGGTTTCAAAGATTCTTTAGGGTTTCTTGTAGGGTTCTTGAGGGTTTAGGGTTTCATTATGAAAGTTTTATTTAGGGTTTCTTTAGCGTTTGATTCAGGGTTTCTTTAGGGTTTCATTTAGGGTTTCTTTAGGGTGTCGTTTTTGGTTTCTCTGGAATGTCTTTTGAGGTCTCTTTAAGGTTTCTTTAAAATTTAATCTATTTTTTTTTGAAAGTTTCAGACATCTAAGGTTTCTTTAGGTTTTAAAGTTCTATTTAGGGTTTCTTTCGGCTTTAGGGTTTCTGTAGGGTTTTTTTAAGTTTTATTTAGGGTTTCATTTCGGGTTCCTTTACGGTTTTCTTTCGGTGTTATTTTAAGGTTTCATTTAGGTTTTCTTTGGTGTTTTTTTAAGGGTTTTTTTTAAGGTTTCTTTAGGGTGTCGTTTAATCGTTTATATAATGTCTGCTGGGGGTTCGTCGGGGACACATTGGCCAGGGGCAGCCCTTCTGAAATGCTAGTCCCAAGCTGCGTAGGTATCTTAATGTTGGCTCCTGATTAGTAGCTAGGTTCGCTATTGTGGCAAATTTTCTCCAAATTATTCTGAAACCCATGTATTGTTTGGAGGGCTCACTTTTGTGGGAAAAAAAATGGTAGATTTTTTTTGGAAAAAACAACCTGTAATTGCGAAGAGGAAGACGTTTTTTCCAAAAGCAATTGCCAAATTCGAACTCCAAGCCTTTCCCAAAGGAGCAAATCCCTTATTAAACCCTTATTAAAGAACAGCTTTTCCACAATTTTCCAAGGCCCTGGACCAGGAGAGGCTCCATTTCACTTTAGAAGGTTTGTTTGCTGTGTTCACTATTGTAGCAAGCTGTGCCAGAGCAGCTCCTGGAAGCCCACAAGAGAAGCAAGCCTTTTCCAAAAGCAATTGCCAAATTCAAACCCCAAGCCTTTCCCAAAGGGGCCAATCCCTTATTAAACCCTTATTAAAGAACAGCTTTTCCACAATTTTCCAAGGCCCTGGACCAGGAGAGGCTCCATTTCACTTTAGTAGGTTTGTTTGCTGGGTTCACTATTGTAGCAAGCTGTGCCAGCGCAGCTCCTGGAAGCCCAAAAGAGAAGCAAGCCTTTTCCAAAAGCAATTGCCAAATTCAAACCCCAAGCCTTTCCCAAAGGGGCCAATCCCTTATTAAACCCTTATTAAAGAACAACTTTTCCACAATTTTCCAAGGCCCTGGACCAGGAGAGGCTCCATTTCACTTTAGTAGGTTTGTTTGCTGGGTTCACTATTGTGGCAAGCTGTGCCAGAGCAGCTCCTGGAAGCCCAAAAGAGAAGCAAGCCTTTTCCAAAAGCAATTGCCAAATTCAAACTCCAAGCCTTTCCCAAAGGGGCAAATCCCTTATTAAACCCTTATTAAAGAACAGCTTTTCCACAATTTTCCAAGGCCCTGGACCAGGAGAGGCTCCATTTCACTTTAGTAGGTTTGTTTGCTGGGTTCACTATTGTAGCAAGCTGTGCAAGCTGTGGGTACTACAAGTACTACAAGTACTACAGGTACTACAAGTACTACAAGTACTACAGGTACTACAAGTACTACAAGTACTACAAGTACTACAGGTACTACAAGTACAACAAGTACTACAGGTACTACAACTGCAAGTACTACAAGTACTACAAGTGCTACCAGTACTACAAGTACTGCAAGTACTACAGGTACTACAAGTGCTACAGGTACTACAAGTACTACAAGTACTACAGGTACTACAAATACTACAAGTATTGCAAGTACTACACGTACTACAAGTACTACAAGT